GGCTCCCTCCCAGCCCTTTTGCCTGCTGCTTCCATTGCCTCATTTCTGGTCCTAGCCAGGAAGCCTTCCTCTCCTGTTGCAGTTCCAGCCTCCACAAGGCTCACCTCTGTTAGAACACTCACCATTGTCCCTGTCTACTTCTCCACCAAACCAAAACTCTCCAGGAGCAGGACAAGAGTGACTCATTCCCAAGCCCACTCAAGAAATGCCTTCATGCCGGGTGTGGTGACACTTGGGAGGGAAAGGCAGGCAGAGCTTTATGAGTTTGAGGCTAGCCTCCTTTACATAGTGAGTTGTTCAGGACAACCAAGACTACTTAGCTGACTCCCTTTCATAGACCAACTCAAAGAAGAAAGGAAGGAAGGATCTCTCTCTCTCTCTCTCTCTTTTTTTTTTTTTTTTTAAGATTTATTTATTTATCATGTATACGGTTTTCTGTCTGCATGTGTCCCTGCAGGCCAGAAGAGGGTACCAGATCTCATAACGGTTGGTTGTGAGCCACCATGTGGTTGCTGGGAATTGAACTCAGGACCTCTGGAAGAGTAGTTAGTGTTCTTAACCTCTGAGCCATCTCTCCAGCCCAGGAAGGATCTTTTATGAACGAGAGAGCTGCTTTAAGATGTGGTGACACACCGGCATGCCAGCTGTGATGAGTAGGTGACTGCCTGTCTACCCTGAGTGCTGCATAGTCAACCTTACCAGTGTACAATCTGTCTAGTGGCCTCTAGTGCTGTCCTTCCTGTGCCCCCAGCCTCAAGCAAGGGCTCAATCTCGCTCTCTCTTTTGTTCTCTCTCTCTCAAGAAATCTCATGTCACCTAGACTTAGCCATGATGATCTTAAACTCCTGATCCTCCTGTTCCCACTTCCAGTGTTACGGATTCCAGGTGTGCTATCCTTGGTTTGTGCAGTGCTGGGATCAAACCCAGAGCTGCTGTGTGCTAGGCAAGCATTCTCCCAACTGAGCTACATTCCCAGTCTTTGTTTTTAACTTTTTGAGATAGTTTCATTCTGTAGTCCTAGTTAACCTAAAGCACATATCTATCCATCCTTCTGCCTCAGCCTCCCGAGTGTCTGGTTTATAGGTTGTATCTTTCCATCCAGCTTCAGCTCTGTTACTTTTCATTTTGAGATAGAGCATCACTTAGTAGCCCAGGTTGGCCTTGAACTTGTGATTCCCTTCACTCAGTCTCCCAAGTAGCAAGGATGAAATGCTCCACCCAGGCCTGGCTTGCGCTTTCTCTTTTTGAAACTCCATACTTCAATTTTGAAATAAAAAAAAAAAATATGTGTGTGTGTGTATGGATGTTTTGCCTGCTTGTGTGTATGTAGTGTGTACATGCCTAGTACCTTTGGACTTCACAAGAGGGCATCGGGACTAAAGTTACAGATGGTTTTAAGCCACCATATTGGTGCTGGAAATTGAACCCAGGTCCTCTGGAAGAGCAGTCAGTCCTTCCCTTTTCCCTCAAGACAGGATTTCTCTATGTATCTTTGGCTGTCCTGGAACTCACTTTGTAGATCAGGCTGGCCTTGAATTCACAGAGATCCACCTGCCTCTGCCTCCTGAGTGCTGGGATTAAAGGTGTGTGCCACAGAGCTCCATTTCCTGCACTCGTGGAGATGGTTAGTTTGGTTGCCTGTGTAACCCAAGTCTGCCAGAGTTTGATCTCCCTCCCCAGGTTGAACTGGGCTGTTAATCAGCTCATGAGCAGTGTGTAGTCCATCTACAAAACACTGACTTTTTTGGTCCCCCTGGAATAACATTAAGAAAAGAGACTTCATGGTCAGGAATGGAAATGCCCACATTCTGGTAATCACCTGGTACCACGTTGGTCACCAGTGTTCCCTGCCCACTGACTTCGTGGGCAGCTTCCTACCTGGGCTCAGTCCCACCTCTGGCTGGTGATCTGGTGGAAACCTCCAGACTGAACCTTACTCATCTCTCCAGGTGCTCCTCAAATACCCCCTCTTCTGGCTGCTTCCACACAGCCCCAATGGACTCTAGGTAGCCTCTCAGAGTCAGGTGTGCCTGAGTCCCCACCTACCCTTACCAGGTCAGGAGTTCCCAGGACATGTGAGAAGTGCTGGAGCACCTGCTTGGGGCTGGCGAGGTCACCTCCCTTGGATTACTAAATGCTGAAGCCTGGCTTGGTGGCACACGGCTTTAATCCCAGCACTAGGGAGGTAGAGGCAGATGGATTTCTATGAATTCCAGGACAGCCAAGGCAACAGAGAAACTCTGTCTCGAAAACCAATAAATAAATAAATAAATAAACAAATAAATAAATGATGAGTTTCAGGTGGTTTTTGAGATGGGGTCACATTGTGCTGAATCCATGGGGCCGCACTAGGCCCAGAGCCCTCCCCATTTCCTGGGGTGAAGTAGACTCCTGCCCTGCCCAAGGTCCTTCACTTTTATTGTTGTTTTGTTTTGTTTTGTGTTTTGAGATAGGGTTTCTCTGTGTAACTGCTCAGGCTATCCTGGAACTCGCTTCCTAGACCAGGCTATTTGATCCTAGCTTGGGCAACACAAAACCTGGGGTGGCAGGCCTGTACCAGTGTGATAGCCAGTGCCATCTTGGTGCATTACTGAGCCCTTAGTGGAGGAGACTCTGCCCAGGAAAGAGGCTGACCTTACCTTGGAGGGGCTCCCTCCCAGGGCTGGACACAGGCGGATGTGACAGCTGCTGCTGGTGTGACTTGCTAGCTACATATTTCTGGCATAGAAAGAATTGGTCAAATCTTATTGTAGTCTCTTCTCTGTGTATGCTTGTGTGTGCATGCATGCATGAGTGCATGTGTCAGGGCAGGTGGTGTTTCCTCAGTTGCTCTCCACCTTATTGATGGAATCAGTCTCCCTGAACTTGGAGCTTGCCAGTTCAGCCAGCCCATCTGGCCAGAATATTCCCCCAGATCTGCCCTCACTTGCCCCAGCATGCAGATGTGTGCTTCCATGTCCAGCATTATAGGTGCTAAACTTGGGCTCTCATGTTTACACAGTAGGCACTTTACCCATGGAGCTATCTCCTCATCCCCAAAATTAATTTTAGCAATATTTATATGACTCTGCATATTCACAATGCTGCCATTGGAGTCAGTATCTTAACATTCCTTTTTTCCGGTGCTGGTGATGGAGCTCAGTAGGTTGAGTGTGCCAGCTAGACAAGCAGCCCCCCAGAGCCTGCCCCCCCCCCCCCCCCGGCCCATCGGGGGTCGGTATCCTCATACTCAAGACCCACCTGCCTCCATCTCCCCAGTGCTGGGAATCACAGGTTATGCCGTCATGACGGGCACACTGCTTCATTCTAGCCCTGTGTGCTTATTTCCTTTACTACCTGTTTCAGTTTGAAGAGCCTCAGTTTGGGTGCTTGGGAGCCACCTGTCTGCCACCGCCACAAAGGCTGCTGCTCTAGGATCAGGGTGCTAATCCCAGAGACTTGCTAGAGGAGGCACTGTCTGGAGTGGGGCTTGTAGGAACTGCTTGGGAATTAAGAGCAGAGGTGAGGGGGTTTGCGGAAGAGGAAGGTATGAAGGCTTCTCTTCCCTCATTCATTCACTTGATGCATCCTGTGTCTGACCAGCTGTTCCTAGAGTGCCTGCTGTGTGCCAGTGCTGAATTTCTGTGCATGAATGTTTTGTCAAATGTATTTCTGTGTACCATGTTCATGTCTGATGTCTGAGGAAGTCGGAAGAGGACTCAGATCCCCTGGGGCTGGAGTTAAGAATTGTGAGTTGTCATGTGGGTGCTGGGAATGGAGCTTGGGTCCTCTGCAAGAGCAGCCAGTGCTCTTAACCCCAGGCCTGGGGTTTTAAATGCTGGAACAGATAAGAACTAGAAGTGTGGCACAGGCCTGTTGTTCAGTACTCAAGAGGCTAAGGCAGGAAGCTCCTGAGTACAAAGCCAGCTTGGGCTACATGAAACTCTCAGGATGTAATAATAGGACTGGAGAGATGGCTAAGTGGTTAAGAACACTGGCTGTTCTTCTGGAATACTGGTTTGATTCCCAGCACCACGTGTGGCTCACAACCATCTGTAACTCCAGTTCTAGAGGATTTGATGCCCACTCCTGGCCTCCGTTTGCCCGTATATGCCAGTGGTATATAGTTATACATGCAGGCAAAATACACACATGGAAAATATAATAATTATAATAATGAATTTCTTGTACAGAAGGGAGTGGAAAGCACCTCTCTAGAGAGTTGTAGGAGGTGACTGGAGGCAGCGGCTGGTGTCCGATAGCCCAGAGTATTGGGACATAGGAATAGATGGGAAGGATGTGGAGAGGCAGAGAGAAGCTGCCTGCCAGAGGACCCTGAGCAAGTGCTCATGTTTGGGTGAGGTGGTGATGGTGTGCCACAGTACAGGCTCATGCTCTGAGGGTCCCCCTGTGTAGAACGGGGTTCTATTTAGAGGCATTGAGTGAGCAGTAGCATCTGGAGGTGTGGCCCTGGGGGCTCCAGTGGCAGTGAGGGTGGCTAGAAGACAGGCAGCACACAGCTAGAGCAGGGTGCATGGGACACCAGTCAGGCCTGCTGTCACAAAGGGAGTCTTTGTGTCATAGCAGAGGGTTAGCGACAGCATAGACCCAGGAGTTAAGAGACCCAGGTCAACAAGGAAGGAGAGAGGTGCTGGGAGATCCGCTGTCAGGTGCTGCTGCTGAGGGAGGTGACAGGAGCCAGTGTAGCTAGCTCTTCAGTCACTTACTGGTCACAGCTCTGTTGTGGGGCACTGAGAGACAGGACAGGAGAGATGCGCCTTTGGGCTCCTGTGGCAGTATGTAGACCCCCTCAAAAACCAACCCCAGCACCCTGTAGTTCATGGGTCACCAGGAGGAGGAAGAAGGAGGGTAGAAGCTTATACTGGTGACTGCCTGGGCACAGAGCAGCAAGCTCCCAGGGAGGGACTCCTGGGGAATGGGTATTTTCAGCCCAGGCCCTTCGGGGAAAGTAAAGGCAGGTGGCTGAAGGTGGCCTCACATACCTTGCCCTCTCTCCACAGGCAAGAGCAAAGAGGCTGAGATCAAGAGGATCAACAAGGAACTGGCCAACATCCGCTCCAAGTTCAAAGGCAGGCTGCTGGCCCAGAGGCCTGGGGGAGGGAGCCAGGGCTCAGGGTACTTGCAAGAATCTTCCTCATGTGGCTACTTTTCCCTCCTCTGCCTCAGGGGACAAGGCCTTGGATGGCTACAGTAAGAAGAAGTATGTGTGTAAGCTGCTCTTCATCTTCCTGCTTGGCCATGACATTGACTTTGGACACATGGAGGCTGTGAATCTGCTAAGCTCCAACAAATACACAGAGAAGCAGATAGTGAGTGTCAGAGGGGACCAGGGCGGGTGCTGGGGCAGAGGGAAGAGACCAGGGTGGGTGTTGGGGCAGAGGGGAGGGGACCAGGGCGGGTGCTGGGGCAGAGGGGAGGGGACCAGGGCGGGTGCTGGGGCAGAGGGAGGGGACCAGGGCGGGTGCTGGGGCAGAGGGAGGGAGCTGGGGTCTGGGTCTCTGGGTTTGAGGGAAAGATGGCTGGGGCCTATACCACTTCATGTTAGAGTTAGCCTCTTAGCCACAGGCTCCCAGCTGTCCCCTCCCTACCCCCCAGGGGTACCTGTTCATCTCAGTCCTGGTGAACTCGAACTCAGAGCTGATCCGGCTCATCAACAACGCCATCAAGAATGACCTGGCCAGCCGCAACCCCACCTTCATGTGCCTGGCTTTGCACTGTATCGCCAACGTGGGCAGCCGTGAGATGGGCGAGGCCTTTGCCGCTGACATTCCCCGAATCCTGGTGGCTGGGTGAGGCTCTGGGGACCACAGCAAAAGGGCAGAAATAAAACTGAAAGCCAGCTTTGTTTGTGGCACCTGCCTAAGTTCTACCTGGGCTTTTAGACCATAGTGGCTTTGGCTCTGTCGTGTCACCAGGCTGCCTTGGGGGTGTAAGGAACTGTCTCCTCCCCACCTGGTGGTCTCCTGTCTGTGATGCACAGCATTAGTAAGGCCTATGGAAGTGATGGTCTCGTTCATTCATCTCACTCAAGAAACAGCATCTGCCCTGTGCCTGCAACACTGATGGCTGACAATGGTGCCACCACCAGCGGTGGACAGTCTTAGTGTTCGTAGCCAGAAAAGTTTCCCCTGTGATTACAGCTGCAGCTGGGTGAGGCTAGCTGGGTCAGCTGTGGCTGTGCACCCTGACTGCTGGAGGATGTGGGTGCCTTCCACAAAAGGTGCAGCAGGTATAAGGCTCTGGGTGTAGGTGTGTGGTTATCAGTGATCCTCTGGGTGGAGTATAGTGAGCATGGGGGAGACTTTGGGAAGTCTGCCTCTGCTTCCCATGGAAGTGGGGGTGACTGGTGTGTATCGGGTAGATGAACAGCAAGAACAGTGTTGTCTTTGAGAAAAATCACTGTGGCTGCTGTACTCAGAGGTGAGATTTCTATTTCTGGCAGTATAGACAGGTGCCCCTGGTGTTCTTGACAAGTGTGGTTGATCTAGGTGTGGTGGATCCTGTAGCAGGCATGAGGACTGGGCAAGCCGGATGCCAATCTGAGGCCCTGTCTCAAAAACAAAACAAAACAAAACAAAAAAACAACAAAAAACAAAACTTTGAGTTGATGAAGGAGCAAGAGAATATTGGTTAATGGCATCTTGAGCTGGTCAGTTAATGAGGTTCACACAGGCCAGCCAGGCGCAGCCAACCCAGGCTGGGCTTCTAAGGCCTCTGGGATCTGGGGGAGCTGTGCAGCCTCTAGGAGCGGAGAAAAGCTTGTCCAAGTAGAAGCTGTGGGAAGCCACACATCAAAGTGTGGGTGACCTAGAAATAAATGCCCCTGAGAATGATGTACAAAATTACCTGTCTCCAGCCTTGATACACAGCAACCAAGGCTGGTTGCCAGCCTGATTTTTTGTTTATTTGAAAAAGGGCGTCATGTAGCCCAGGTTGGCCTTGAACTGATCCTTCAGCTTCCACCTCCTTAATGCTGAGATTGCAGGCATGTACCACATGTGTGTGCAGTGCCCACAGAGGAAAGCTGTGAATAGGGAAAAAAGTAGCCTGAAGGCGAGGGTCAAGGTGCCTGATGCTCTATGTCTAGGCAGGGCCAGAAGGTGGTCTGGCATACAGTGGGAGAAGGATGAAAGTCCTGTTATGGTATGCAGACCTGCCATCCAGCACTGGGAAACTGAGGCAGGAGGATTACAAATTCAAGGTCATAGCTGGGGAGTGGTAGCACAAGCCTTTAATCCCAGCACTCAGGAGGCAGAGGCAGGTGATCTCTGTGAGTTCGAGGCCAGTCTGGTCTACAAAGCAAATTCCAGGATAGCCAGGACTGTTACACAGAGAAACCTTGTGTGTGGAGAGGGATGGGGGGGGGGGCAATTACAGGACAACCTAAGCAGCATAGCCATATCCTGGCTCCTAATTGATTCGTTAATAATTTTAGCCTCACTGGTTGGTGGTAACGCACACCTTTAATCCTAGCACCAAAAAAGCAAAGGCAGGCAAATCTCTGTGAGGTGGAGGCCAACCTCATATATAGAGCAAGTTCCAGGACAGCAAAAGCTGCACAAAGAAACCCTGTCTCGAAAAACCAAAAAGAAAAAAATTTTTTAGCTTCAGAAAAAGTTTGAGACAGGCTCTCACTAGGGAAGCCTGGTTGATCCTGTATCTGCTTTTGTTTTGTCTTGCTTATCTTTTGAGATGATTCTATATACTCCAGGCTGGCCTTGAACTCACTATATAGCTGAGTATGACCTCGAACTGCTTCTGCTGCTGCTTAGCCTCTGAAGTACTGGGGTGATAGTGTGCTACATTGTCCAGCAATATTGAGTGTCTATTTTATTTTTTTGTTTGTTTTTCAAGACGAAGATTTTCTATGTAGTCTTGACTGTCCTGGAACTCACTGTGTAGACCAGGCTGGCCTTGAATTAGGAGTTTCATCTGTCTCTGCCTCCTGAGTGCTGGGCTTAAAGGTGTGTACCAACACCTCCTGCCTATTTGTTGTTTTTAATTTATTTAATTTACATACATTGCCTGCAAGCATGTCTGTATGAGGGTATCAGATCCTCTGGAACATAAGTTATAGACAGCAATGAGCTGCCATGTGGGTGCTGGGAATTGAACCTAGCGCCTTTGGTAGAGCAGCCAGTGCTCTTAACTGCTGAGCCTTCGCTCCAGCCCCCTGTTTGTTTATTTTTGCAGCAGGATCTCACTATGTGGCCCTAGCTAGTGTGGAACTTTTGGTGATCTTTCTGCTGTTCCTCCTGAGGTTTGCCATACAATCGTATACCACCGTGCCTAGCTCAAAACTGCTAATTGTGCATAGAGCTGTGGTTTTTAATGTAATCTTGTATGCGACCATCACCACTACCTAATTCCAGAGCATTGTTGTCACTCCCAGAAAGAGCAATCACTAAGTTTGGCAGCAGGTCTGTCACATACACACATTCCCCATCCCCAAATGTAGACCACTAGTCCATCCCATCTGAAGAGACATGGGATGTGAATCACTGACTAGGTCTGGTGGCTTTCTCTCAGCAAGGTGTTTTTTGAGTTTGTTCATCTGTAGTGGATATCAGACTTCATGCCTGAGGCTGGTGAGACAGGTCAGTTGAGAAAGGACTTGTCGTGTAAGCATGAGAACCTCATGTTCAGAATCCACAAGCTGAGCATCACTACTATAGCTATAATCCCAACTATGGTGTGCCAAGACAGAAGGATGCTGGGGCTGGCTGGCCAGCCCACCTACCTTATTGGTGAGCCCCAGGTTCAGTGAGAGACTTTATCTAACAATAAGGCAGAGAGCTATAGAGGAGGCTATCCAGTGTTGACCTCTGGTCCTTATATCATATGCACCCTCGTCTGTGTACACACACACTACCTACATGTGCACACATGCATGTGCACACACACACATTTCACAAACATACACCTCACACACACAAACTGCACACTATACACACATCCTACATATACACACACTGCACATACACACAGGAACACACACTGTATACTATATACATATCACCACACACACACACACACACACACACACACACACACACACAAGCATGTTTTATTGTCCATTGTCATAAAACTCTAGCTGGTTGGTGGTGGCGCACGCCTTTAATTCCAGCACTCAGGAGGCAGAGGCAAGTGGATCTCTCTGAGTTTGAGACCATCCTGGTCTCCAGAGCTAGTGCCAGGATAGGCTCCAAAGCTACACAGAGAAACCCTGTCTCGAAAAACCAGATGGGCTGTTCTCATCTGAGTGGTGTCTGAAGTGCTCTTGTGTTGGTTCCTAGGAGTGACAGTGCTGGGTTGATTATTTGAAACAGGATATTGTTTGTTTGTTTGGGGAACATGGTCTCGTAGAACCCAGGCTGACCTTGAACCCACTTGTAGCCCAGAGTCCTTAAATTTCTTTTTTTTTTTTTTTTTTTTTTTTTGTTTTTTTAGAAAGGATTTTTTTGTGTAGCTTTGGGGCCTTTCCTGGGACCCCCTCTGGAGCCCACGCTGGCCTCGAACTCAGAGATCCACCTGCCTCTGCTTCCCAAGTGCTGGGATTAGAGGCGTGCGCCACCAATGCCCGGCTGAGTCCTTAAATTTCTAATCGTCCTGCCTCAGCCTTGCAAATGTTAGTATTACTTGGGTTAGCTACTAAATTATCTCCAGACTCCCCTTTTAAAGATTGGTTTTATATTAGATCCTATTTGTATCCTTGTGCACCTGAGTAGAGGTGTCCTCAGAGGTCAGAAGAGGGAGTAAGGTCCCCTATAGTCAGAGTTTAAGTGGCTGTGAGCTGCCAACTAGGGTCCAGAGCAGTGTGTATTAACCACTGAGCCACCTCCTCTCTTGCCTCCATACTTCTAATTTTATTTTAAGACACTGTCTTGCTGGCATGGTGGCATGTGCTGTTATTCTAGCAGTCAGGATACAGGGCAGACAGATGTATGTGAATCTGAGGTTACTCTAATACACGTATTGAGTTCTAGGCTAGCCAGGGATATGTGGTGAGAGATTGTCTCAATAGGGAGGGGAAAAGGCCTGTTTAACTGCCAGCCTAACCTTGAACTCACTCTGTAGACTGGCCTTGAATTTACTGGCATCCTGCTTTGGTCTCCTTAGGGCTAGGATGACAGGTGTGTGTCATCAGCCCCAGATTATCCCTGGTTTCTCTGTGTAGTCCTGGCTATCCTGGAACTCACTCTGTAGACCAGGCTGGCCTCGAACTTAGAGATCTGCCTGCCTCTGCCTCCCAAGCTTTAAAAATATTTATTTATCCATTTTTATGCGTATGTGTGCTTTTGTGAACTTATGTGCACCAGATATGTGCAGGCACCACAGAAGCCATTCCATGTCCTCTGGCTCCACTCTCTCCCTCCTTGCTCCCCTGAAGTCAGCCGGGTCTGAACTCACATCTGTGTCCATCTTTCCTATGGGGCTGCATCTGCACGTATTGCAGTTTGTACCCAACCTAAGCAGCACCTTGGTGTATCTTCTTCTGTCTAGTTTCAAAGACTGACAAGGAAATCCTTCACTGAATAGTGGATACATGGAAGCAGGCTGGGGCTGAGCTCCATTGGCAGAGTGCTCACCTAGTATACCCAAAGCCGTATTTCCATCCACAGTACCGTAGAAACCCTGTGTGGTGGTGTATACCTCTCATCACTCAGGATATAGAGAAGGGATCAGGAGCTGAAGATGATCCTTGGCTAAAGAGTGAGTTCCACCTAGGCGGTAGTGGCACACACCTTTAATCCCAGTACTTGGGAGGCAGAGGCAGGCCGTTCTGAGTTTACAATGTGAGTTCTAGGACAGCCAGGGCTACACAGAGAAACCCTGTCTCAAAAAAAAAAAAAAAAAAAAGTTTCATGCCAGCCTGGATTGCACGAGAGCCCACAAATAAACGAACAAATAAATGAAGGCTCTAGAGCCACTATTAAAGAGAAAGCCAGAGAGCTGAAATATAGCTGGATGGGTTCCCTGTAATCCCAGCACTGGGCAGATTCGGGCAAAAGGAGCCCAAGTTGCAGGCCAGCCTTGGCTCTGGAGGCCCCGATTATAGTGTAAGAGACTAGAAGTACAAAGTTGTCTGCTTGGAATCCTGGATGGGCAGGGCTGGGTCTCTCTGGGCCTCCAGGACTCCCAAGGAAAATGGTTTCCTGCCTCTTTTCCTTTGATTTGTTCTTTCCCTGACTCACCCATTATTGGAGCGGTGATGAGCATAGGTGTGCCTGCCAGTCTCTTGACTATGTAGGGTCCACTCAGGCTCTCAGGGTGCAGGCCAGAACAAGCTGCACATTTTGTCTGGTCCTGCCAGTTGTTTTGTGGAGGATGAGACAGTCCTGGGGATAGTCAGAGCAGCATCCAGATGCTTTGGGCCATTCTGGCTGCCTGTGTCCTATGCTGGCCATGTGGTGGCAGATGGGAAGTCAGGTGCACTGGGTCCAGGTAGGCTGACTGCCCTGCGCTGTCCCCACAGAGATAGCATGGACAGTGTGAAGCAAAGTGCAGCCCTGTGCCTACTTCGTCTCTACAAGGCCTCCCCTGACCTGGTGCCCATGGGCGAGTGGACAGCACGTGTGGTGCACTTGCTCAATGATCAACACATGGTGAGGTGCCCAGATGTCCCCAAGTGCCTGAAGCCCCTTGTATACTCCTTTGCTCTTACCTGGAATGTCCTTAGATTTGCCTGTCCCCATCCTGGCTCTGAGCCTGGGCCCTCATGCCTGAGCTTCTTACAGGGAGTAGTCACGGCTGCTGTCAGCCTTATCACCTGTCTCTGTAAGAAGAATCCAGATGACTTCAAGACCTGCATTTCCCTGGCCGTGTCACGCCTGAGCCGGGTGAGTTTGCCATCACACTAGCTGGGGTAGGCCTATCTCCCCTGTGTCTGTGACACCTGTCTCTCCTCCTTTCCCTAAAAGGCAAGCGGCTTTACTTCTTTGAGCTTCTTTTCCTACTCCTACATGCTTCAGGGGCTGACACCAGTGCTGTGTGCATCATAGCTGCTGTGGATAGGTGCTGAGAATAGGACCAGGGGCCAGCAAGCACCGCAAAGCCGTCCGTCTGCCTGGCCCATCCTCCCTCCTTTCTCTCGCCTGTCCTGCTCTTTCCTCTTTGGCTTCCTGCCCTTTCTTTTGCCTCTCACCACCTCCACTGTCCTCAACGCACCCTGAGCCTCTGTGTGCCTAGGTCTCTATGTCTGAATCAGACCTTAAGGGGCCCCTGTCCTGCTGGGAGGGACAGTGTGGCAGGGATGGTGACTCAGTCACAGACTGTCAAGAGGGGCTGTGCATCATGGAGGGAGCTCAGCACTGTGGGCACCTAGTGGAGATCCTAACCCAGTCTGGGAGCCAGGGGAGCTTCTCCAGGGCAGCAACCAAATGGAGATTCAGAAGTGTCTCAGACCGTGGGCAAAAGCATCACATATACCCATCATTCATCTGTCCCCAGCTCCTCATTTCCCACATATCTGAGTGTGCCAGGCCCAGGAGGGAACAGAGATGAAGGGATGTGTGGTCATGCCACTGGCACAGAGTGCTGCGGGGAAGGCTTCCTGGAGAAAGTTACTAACATTACTTGGAAAATTCAGAGCCAGGTATTAGGGCACAATGCAAGCATGCAGGAGACTGAAGCAGAAGGGTCTTGTGTGAGACCAGCCTGGGCTATTTACTGGAACTCTAGTTCAAAAAGAAAGAAAAGGGTTCTGTGAACCTCAGGCCTTGGTTTCCCTTTCTATAAAGCCTGGCTCTTATGATGCCGTGGTCTAAGCATGTCTCTTCAGGGGACAGGCCTGTCCTGCTCCTGCTTATCATTCCCTCCTTTTGCAGATTGTCTCCTCTGCCTCCACTGACCTCCAGGACTATACCTATTACTTCGTCCCTGCTCCCTGGCTCTCTGTGAAGCTGCTGCGGCTGCTGCAGTGCTACCCACCGCCAGGTAAGGCCTGTGGGCTGCCTTCCTTGTCTTCCCACGCCAGAGCCAGGCTATGCCTCCAGACTGCATGGGAGGCCGTGGGTGGGGGGTCAGCCTGATGCCCTGCCCTGCCCTGCACATCACCTGGGTGGCGCTGCTCCTGTCTTGGGTCCACTTCCTTCTCATAGCCCTCTCTTCTGTTGAGAGAGCTAGTTGTCATGCATGCTTTACAGAGCAGAGGAAAAAGGCCAGAGCAGGGAGTTTTGGCTCAGAGTTGCCCCATTAGAATGCCTGGAAGCTGTTTTATGAGCTGCAGCCTGGCTAGTTACCCTCTTCCATAGCAGCGATGCACTGAGCCAGGTGGTGGTGGCACACGCCTTTAATCCCAGCACTTGGGAGACAACCTCTTCCATAGCAGCGATGCACTGAGCCAGGTGGTGGTGGCACATGCCTTTAATCCCAGCACTTGGGAGACAGAGGCAGGTGGATCTCTGAGTTTGAGGTCTAGTTCCAGGACAGCCAAGCCAGAGAAACCCTGTGTCAAAAAAAAAAAAAACAAAAACAAACAACCAAAAATCCCTAAAACCCTCATAATGCCTGGTGCCCATATAGTGTGCAGTGGCCTTCTGGACTGGTAGCCTAGGGTCAGCTTGCTGATCTCTATGGATAGCTCCTTGGGAACGCTTGAGCTCCATGGTAGCTCTGGGGAAGGCTGCTGGGATTTCCATCCTTCTGTGAGAAACTTAAGGAGCATCCATGCAGCAGAAGAGGAGACCAAGGCTCACAAGAATGGAGACTCATTCATAGCAGTCAGTGTGTGGTGGGGGGGAGCCCAGACCTGGAGATAGATGCTCTACCTCAGAAGGCAGAGGTCCAGCCTGGGACTGCAGGGCTTAAAGGAAGCTGGGCCTCTCATGTGGAGGGTGAGGGCTGGGGCAGGCTGCAAACGTCAGGGACCACTTACCTGCTTTCCCCAGAGGACGCAGCTGTGAAAGGGCGGCTGGTGGAGTGTCTCGAGACCGTGCTCAATAAAGCCCAGGAACCCCCCAAGTCCAAGAAGGTGCAGCACTCCAACGCCAAGAACGCTATCCTCTTTGAGACCATTAGCCTCATCATCCACTATGACAGGTGCTGCAGGCAGGGGTGTGGAGAGGCAGGGCCACTGGCCCGAGGGAGGAGAGAGAACAGGATATGCCTGAGGAGGGAAGGCTGGCATCTTACACCTGGATCAAAGAAAAGAAAGCAGGGCCTGAACCCCACAGTCAGAGGGAAGAGATTGGGGCCTAGGACCCTTGCTAAGAAGGGACAAAGGTGTGAAATGCGCCTCTGAGGTGCATGCAGTTGCTATATAGCTTGTGGGCTCAATCCTGCACGCTGAGGGTTGAAGTCAAGGCTAGTTTTTGCTGGCTCTATTCTCCACTCCAGTGCACATGGGTTCTTAGGAGGGTTAGAGCAGGAGGTTGAAGTGGGCAGAAGTAAGGACCTGGATCCTCAGGGAGCTATGAGACGGATCAGTTCATGTCCCATCTCCATCTATACTTCACTTGTGCCTTGCAGTGAGCCCAACCTCCTGGTCCGTGCCTGTAACCAGCTGGGCCAGTTCCTGCAGCACCGGGAGACGAACCTGCGATACCTGGCCCTGGAGAGCATGTGCACACTGGCCAGCTCTGAGTTCTCCCATGAAGCTGTCAAGACTCACATTGATACCGTCATTAATGCCCTCAAGGTGCAGCCCTCTGCCCCACTCAGAGTGGCCAGGTGCTTGGTGGCCCTACAGTGGTCCCAGTGCAGTTTAGACCCTAACTTGGTCCTGTTCTTCTTCCTCAGACGGAGCGGGATGTCAGTGTGAGGCAGAGAGCAGCTGACCTCCTGTATGCCATGTGTGACCGGAGCAATGCCAAGCAAATTGTGTCAGAAATGCTGCGGTACCTGGAGACTGCTGACTATGCCATCCGAGAGGAGATCGTGAGTCTAGGGACCAGGGCTGAACCACAGAGTCTAAGAGAGGAGGGCTTGGGGTCTGACCCCTAAGGTTGGAAGGAGTGTCTAAGGGAAGAAGACTAAAGTTCGGAATCCTGAATTTAAGGAATGAGACTAGGGAGGGGTGCTGGTTGTTAGGATGGGGTCAGCAGTGACCATAGGTTCAGGAATGGCAGTAGTCACCCTCCTGTGGGCATAGTCGTCTACTCACACCTCACCACCTCCTGCAATAGGTGCTGAAGGTGGCCATCCTGGCTGAGAAGTACGCAGTGGACTATAGCTGGTATGTGGACACCATCCTCAACCTCATCCGCATCGCAGGCGACTATGTGAGCGAGGAGGTGTGGTACCGAGTGCTGCAGATTGTCACCAACCGTGATGATGTCCAGGGTTATGCTGCCAAGACAGTGTTTGAGGTTAGTGTCCTTCACTTTAACCCCATGATGGAACTCAGCTGCCAGTCAAAAGCAGCTAGGCAATAATATACTCCACCAGCAGGAGCCAGCATCCTGAGTCACCCAAGGGACATGGGATCTGCAACCTTGGGACATTCCTGGTGTGAAGAATATACAATATGGATGTTGCTTCCATGTGTTTTTGGTCCCTGTCCAGGAGAGCTGGCCACTTTATTTCCTGTGCAGTGCTTCTCAGGCTCAGAGGGTTTTGGTCCATCCTGACAGGGAAGGCATATGTGGCAGCAGGAGTGTGTGGACAGGGCAGTAGGTAAAGTACCTGCTGTGCAAGCACGAGAGGCTGATTCCAGTCACAGCACTCCTCATGCAGAAGCCGAGCGTGCAAGCACGAGAGGCTGAATCCAGTCACAGCACTCCTCATGCAGAAGCCGAGTGTAGCTGTGTGTGGCTGTAACTCTGGCACTGTGCAGGCAGAGACAGGCAGGTTCTGGGGGCTTGCCAGCCAGCTAGTCTAGCCAAAATGGGAACTCTAGGTTCAGTGAGAGATCCTGTCTCAAGGTGGAGAATGATTGAGGAAGATTCCTGATGTCTAATGGCCTTCATAACGTTGCACACGGGCATGCACACAGAACATGGGGTGGAAGCTAGTCATGGCTATCCAGGAAGTAATCAAAGATAACACACTCCCTAGTGCCCTCCCTTCTCCCAGGTAGGTTCCACAGTTTTTAGTACCTTCCCAAACAGCGTCAGCAGCTGGGGATCAAGCACTAAAATCATAGTATGTGTGGGAGATCTCAGAATCACACTGTAACATTGAGTTTAGGCTAGTCACTTAACAACTCCCATGCCTCAGTTTATGACCCCATGTACATTGCAGAGGTCAGGGGGACTTTTCTATCCTTGTCCTCACACTGCTGTCCCTTGCTCCCTCACAGGCCCTCCAGGCCCCAGCCTGTCATGAAAACATGGTGAAGGTCGGTGGCTACATCCTTGGGGAGTTTGGGAATTTGATTGCTGGGGACCCACGCTCCAGGTGAGGGAGCCTCATTCTGGGGGACCTACTAGGGGTTGGGGAACCCCCATGAGGCTGAGAGCTGAGAAATGATGGGGTTCCTAGGAACCTTCTCAACACGTTTCAGTTGCCCGCTTGGGTGATGTCATAGCCTTGCCTTAAGGTGTGTGGGTGACGGGCGTGTCTGCTGACCTCACCTCCTCCACAGCCCACCTGTGCAGTTCTCACTGCTGCACTCCAAGTTCCACCTGTGCAGCGTGGCCACTCGCGCCCTGCTGTTGTCCACATATATCAAGTTCATCAACCTCTTCCCTGAGACCAAGGCCACTATCCAAGGAGTTCTGCGTGCCGGCTCCCAGCTGCGCAATGCCGATGTGGAGCTACAGCAGCGGGCAGTGGAGTACCTCACCCTCAGCTCTGTAGCCAGCACCGATGTTCTGGTCAGAGCCCATGCCCCACACCTTGGGACCACCCTCTTGGGCCATAAGTGCCCCCTAACCTCCCCTCCTGCCCACAGGCTACTGTACTAGAAGAAATGCCCCCATTTCCTGAGCGCGAGTCATCCATTCTGGCCAAGCTGAAGCGCAAGAAGGGCCCTGGGGCAGCCAGTGCCCTGGATGACAGCCGTAGGGACACCAGCAACAGTGACATCAATGGGGGTGTGGAGCCCACCCCCAGTACCGTGGTGAGCCCAGTTATGGACCACATGGCCAGGCTGGGTCCCCTCTCTCTTGCCCTGTCTCACCTATACCGTCTAACCTTAATTGCAGTCGACACCCTCACCCTCCGCGGACCTCTTGGGGCTGCGGGCAGCCCCTCCCCCTGCTGCACCTCCAGTCCCTGTAGGTGGGAACCTCCTGGTGGATGTCTTCTCTGATGGTCCCACGGCACAGCCCAGCCTGGGACCCACCCCTGAGGAGGCCTTCCTCAGGTACCTCCTGTTCCTGTCCTACTCAGCCCCATCCCCTTTCATCTCCTTCCTGTGCCTAGCCTCTGGCTGCCACTAGACTCTGCTGCCCTGCCTACCTTGTGCTGTTCTTTCCCATAGCTGTATCTCAGCCCACTTTTCTTTCTGAACCCTCTTGCCTCTCTTTCCCTGGCCCTCTTGCTGCCCTCTGGGATTGGCTGCCTGCCACACCTGTCTTCTCTGTCTGCTCTGGGATTGGATGGCCCAGCGAGCTGGAGCCCCCTGCCCCTGAGAGCCCCATGGCTTTGTTGGCTGACCCAGCTCCAGCTGCTGAGTAAGGGGTGGCCTCTGGCTATTGGGATTGACGGATGTTCCCAGGGTGGGCTTCAGGGGTTTCTGATGACTGGCAGGGTTAGGAAACAGTGAAAGTTGGGGTCCTAGGGAGATCCCTCTGCCAGGGTCCCACTCCCATTCCTGAGGGTCTCTGGGGAAGCTTGGCCTGTGGGTTCTGGGGAATCTGCCTTCCAAGGGAGTGTTGCCTATACCTGTTTCCTCAAGCCCATGTTCATCTCAATTCTTCCTCCCCTCCAGCCCAGGTCCTGAAGACATAGGCCCTCCCATCCCAGAAGCAGATGAACTGCTGAATAAGTGAGTTCTGGGAGGGGTGGGCTGGAGAGTAGGGACAGTTGGGAACATAAAGATGGGTGGTCAGGAGCCCTACCATCCTGACTCCCACCACTCTGCCAGGTTCGTGTGTAAGAACAGTGGGGTCTTGTTTGAGAACCAGCTGCTGCAGATTGGAGTCAAGTCCGAGTTCCGACAGAACCTGGGTGTGTCCTGGTAGCCTGGAGTGGGGTGCTGGAGGGTGGGTTCTCGGCAGTCACCTCTGCCTGGCTGAGCTGGCGGTAGGGGATGGGATCAGAAGAGCTTGGATGGAACCCTTACCCACCCGCTGCAGGCCGAATGTATCTCTTCTATGGCAACAAGACTTCTGTGCAGTTCCAGAGCTTCTCGCCTACCGTGGTCCACCCCGGAGACCTCCAAAATCATATCCTCTGCTCTTGGCCTTGATAGTGCCCCAACCCACTCCTGTAGGCCCATGGGAAGCAGACACTCACTCTGAATTAGGCACATGCCACTTCCAAGACTGTTTGCATAACCAGGGACAGATGACAGTGACCCAATGAACAGGATGTATGACTTCCAGCACCCTAACTACCTTGCCAGACTCATGACCTTTGCTGGTGTGGTCTGTGTGGGGCTTCACGCCCTGCGGCTGCACTCGGTTTAACCAGGGATGCTGCATACACTGCTGGCCCTGCAGTGCCTCAGCTGGGCAACTTGCTTCCTAACCCTCCAGGAAAAGTAGATCTCCCTCTTCTGCTTTTGAGGACCCTTTGTTGTTTTGAAACTGTTTAATGTAGCCTGGGCTAGTCTCTACTCACTCTACAGATCGGGCTGGCTTTGCGGCCTGGGCCTTTTTGAAAGAGCAGTTGGGATGTTCTGGAAGTTGTATGGCAGAGCCAGGCCCCCTCTCCCCTATATGGTCCTCAGTCCACATGTATGAAACCAGAACAACTAGTCCTTTACTCTCTGCATCGTTCACCAGCTTTTCCAGAGCAGACCACTCTGTAGTAGGGCAGGGGTAGGTGGGATGTAGGTACCAGCCAGCCTTGCGCATGTTCTTGACATGAAGGCAGGGCTGAGTATAGATGGTGACACTAATTGATCCCGTCTGGGTGCATGGCACTGCTACTTAGACACACAGACATGTTGTGATGGCCGACGGTTTCATTGGTCCTCTGGACATCTTACACGCACCCAGTTTACTCTCGAGGCTAAGGAAATAGCACTTTGCCCTCCATGATCCGTGTGGTCAGTCACCTGGATGAGCCAGGCATGGAGGAGACTCCTAGGTGTCCCAGATGTGGGATACCTGGAAGGGTGTGACCCTAGCCAGGGTCTTCCCCAAGACATCCTCAGGTTATACTCCTTTTGTCCCTGGCTTCCTTGACTATGGGGCCACAGCTGGCGGTGCAGACGAAGCGTGTAGCTGCACAAGTGGACGGTGGTGCACAGGTGCAGCAGGTGCTCAACATTGAGTGTCTGCGAGACTTCTTGACGCCACCGTTACTGTCGGTGCGCTTCCGGTGAGTGGGAGCAGAGTTTGTGGGGTGTGGGGCCATGAGACAGGGTCTTCAGGGATGAGGCCTGACCGAGCTGCTTCTCATCTGTTCAGGTACGGTGGCACTGCCCAGTCCCTCACTCTGAAGCTCCCAGTGACCATCAACAAATTCTTCCAGCCTACAGAGATGGCCGCCCAAGACTTTTTCCAGCGCTGGAAGCAGCTGAGCCTGTGAGAGGCGGGGCTGAGGGGTGGGGCGGGGCTGAGAGGAGAAGGGGGCGGGAGCAGGATCTGACAGGCTTTCAACCTCCCAGACCGCTGCAGGAAGCACAGAAAATCTTCAAAGCCAACCACCCCATGGATGCTGAAGTTACTAAGGCCAAGGTAAAGAGAGAGAGAGAGAGACAGAGAGAGAGAGAGAGAGAGAGGCCGGGCATTACTGGGTGCTGGCTGCTGCATGGACCAGTTCTTGCCCATGACAGTTTGACCTGGGATAGCCTGGAGGCTTCTCAGCTCTGCTTCAATACCCACCCCATTCTAGCTTCTGGGGTTTGGCTCTGCTCTTCTGGACAATGTGGACCCCAACCCTGAGAACTTCGTGGGTGCTGGAATCATCCAGACGAAAGCCCTGCAGGTGGGGTGTCTGCTTCGGCTGGAGCCCAATGTCCAGGCCCAAGTGAGTGCCGAGGGAGACCGGTGACCCACACTGCCTGCACCCAGCCCTCCTTCCTGTGCACACCTCTCACTTGTCCTCCTTCTTGACCTACCCGACCTCTCTGACCTGGTACCCCTTCTTGGGCTCTCTGGTCTCATGGCTGCCATCTCCACACAGATGTACCGCCTGACCCTGCGCACCAGCAAAGAGCCTGTCTCCCGTCACTTGTGTGAGCTGCTGGCCCAGCAGTTCTGAGCCCTGGACTTGCCCTGGGATGTGGCCAGTGCCAGGCAGCCCTGGGATGGAGGCAGCTGTGGTGGAGGGGGCAGCGAGGAGACCTCCAGTGGTGACAGCAAAGACCCCAGGGATGGGGGCATGCCTGGGAGCTTCCTCTGGCCTTTTGTATTTTTATTTTTGTTCATCTGCTGCTGTTTACATTCTGGGGGGGCCAAGGGAAGCACCCTCCCTCCCTTGTCCCCCAGAGCACAGAGGGGAGAGGGTCCGGGGAAGTCGGTACCTCCTCCCCTCCCCCCATTGTCGCCCTCCCTCCCTTTCCCCATCTGGGGCCGTGTATTATTGTGAGCGAATAAACAGAGAGACGCTAATATTACCCCATCAATTTGACTGTCCACCCTTAGGTAATCAAAGGAACGGAGTAAGGGCTTGTAGAGTGTGTGTGGCAAGGCTCCGCAGCCCATGGGTCGGGCTCTGAGGAGACAGCATCAACAATAGCAGCCGCAGCCCTAGCTGCAGAGCCACCAACCGCCATCCCTCGCCTGGTCCTAGCACGAGATAGCAAGCTCGGGGGCTCTGGGCTGGGTGGGCTTCGTCCTCTTCTTTCTCTGTAGGCCCTGGTTCTGGGAAAGGACAAAGAAGGCTGTGGTGAGCTGCACAGCTGTGGCTTGGATGCCACAATCCAGTCAGAGGCCCAGCACCCTTCAGCTCAGCCCATTCCTTTGTCCTGTGACCCATGTGTGAGCTCGGACATGTAGCAGACACCAAGTGCTGTTACCCTCTGAGGAACACACCCTCCTCTCCCCAGTACAGACCTCTGCTATGTGCACACTTGTGACATCTTTATCCCCCTGCCTGTGTCTCTTGGGGCAGTAAAGACCTGGGACACTTCTCTATGTGACATCTGCAGGATCCTCGCTCCCCTCAGTTTGAGCAAAGCTCTGCCCAGCACTATGGAAGGTGACAGGAATGGCTGATTGAGCACTGCCACTTAGACTTGCTCGGCATTTGAGACAGATAGGACTGATAGTCCTTGCCTAGGAGATGAAGCAATACATGCTCGTTTCTTTTAAGGCTCTCTAACACAGGCTGCCCTCAGGGCTGGAGAGCTGACTCAGAGGTTGAGAGCACTGACTGCTCTTCCAGAAGTCCTGAGTTCAAGTCCCAGCAACCACATGGTGGCTCACAACCATCTATGATGAGATCTGGTGCCCTCTTCTGGTGTGTAGGCAAACAGATGCAGAAACAAAGCAAACATAGATACACATAATTAATAAATAAATCTTTAAAAAAAAAAAGACACAAAACACAGGCTGCCCTCAAACTCATGGTTCTCCTGCCTTGGCCAACAGTGAGTGGTTGGAGCTGAAGTTCCATGTGTGGGACAAAATGCCCAGTCCAGAACCAGGCCCTACGGTAAAAGCACTGGCTGGAGAAGATGTCCAGAATCAAGTACTACGCTTGATCGGGGCAATTCCGGCATACCCTGGGTTCTCTGCTTCATGGTGTGCATGCCATGCGGGATCCATGCCTGCCACTAACCTGGTGAGAAGTGTGTGGTGGCCACCAGAGTGTAGAAGTTTCTAAGGAGGCGCCGGCGCTGCTCAGGGGAAGGCTCTAGAGAAAAATGAGCAGCGTGACTAGGTGGTCTCTAGCCCAACACCCTCCCACATCCCGCTTCCCTGTGCACCTTTATTCCGAGAGGGCTCCACAGTGAAGAGGCAGCGTCTCAGATCCAAGTGGAGCAACAGCAGACTAGGGAAAGGCACTCTCAGGCCATGGGGAGCTGACAGGGCGAATGGGCCACTCCACCCTGAGCCCCACCACGGAGACTTACCCGAGAATGTCGCTGTGTAGCGGGAAACCTTCAGGCAGTACCCTAGGGCCCAGAGGCAGACAGGCCCGGAGGGGCTCCAGCAGCGGCTGCCACCAGCGTTCCAACAACTGCAGAGGGCAGCGTGGTTCGTGTGAGGTCAGGGCCGGGGCTGGGGAGCGGAGCTTGGGTGGCTAGGAACCGCAGCAGGTGGCTGGGGACTACAGCAGGAGGGGGTGACAGCAGCCTCACCTGTGGGTCCAGCTGGCTGAGGGGCGGGCGCGGCCCGCACAGCAGACACAGCTCCAGGCCCCGCAGGAGCGTGAGGGTCAACAGCCGATGCGGGACCTGCAGCAGGGTGCAGGGGGCTAAGTAGGCCCCCGGCCCCGCCCACCAGAGGTCCCGCCCCTTCCCCCTCCCACTCACCGTGGGGCTCCCGTGAGGCAGGTACACGGGGTAGTCACGGGCAGCCTGTGGTGGCAGGGACCCCACCAGCCAGGGGAGCAGCACGGCTTCAGGCATGCCCAGGCGCCACCAGCCCTCGGTGGCTGCCACCACTCGGCCTGATACCAGCAGGCTGACGAAGGCCGTGCCAGTGGCCTCCGCGAACCCTGACAGGGTTTCCTGTGAGGGGGTCACACTAGGAGTCATAAAGCAAGGAAAGACCCCTCCACCTGGGCCTGGAGTGGAAGAGCAGCCACAGTACCAAGGGGGACACTCCAGTATTTTAGGCTACCAAGCTGCCCTGTCACACCTTCTCTGTGAACAGGAATGCTTTAACTTCCCTTTCAGGCAGCATTCTCAATTCACTGTGCATCACTTTTGATTTGTTGTTTTTTAATCTTCAGTAATGAGACTGTAACCCAAAGCTTTGGGCATGGGAGCTAAGCAGCTCTACTGCCAAGCCACATTGAATTTTGAGTCAAGTGTTGCTGAGTTGCACAGGCTGATCTTAAACTTTGTATGGTATGGCAGGATGGCAGGCCCTGTAAAGCCAATGCTTTAAACAACCGCATGTACAGTTTACTGTCTATAGAAGCTCTGGGAGAGGTCAGAACACACTGCTGGGGGCGGCGCAGAACTAGGGATTTGCCCAGATAAGGCAGAGCTCCCTTCAAGATTTGGACCTGCAAAGTGTTAGGCTGTTTGAGACCCTCGAGGAACTTAAAGCTGATTTATGGATGTCACACAGGTTGGTGAGCACCAGAGGGCACAGGCCTCACAGGCCTTGGGACACTAGGCAAAGGGGAGGGAGCTTGTCCTAGGGGAAGTGATCAGGGTGGACTCTGGTGAAGAAAGTTCTTTTCCAAAGAGTTCCAGGTACTTATTCCAGAATGGGAAGAGGATGCTGGGGTGATGTCTAGAGATGGGACACACTTATTTCTATAGCTGCCCCAATACCTGCATGAAGGACCCCTCTGGAGGAATGACACAGTCCACACACTGGGTCAGGTCTCCGATGAGCTCAGAGTTCCCCAGGAAGCTGTCGATGAGACAGTAGCTGGCCTGGCAGAGGGAAAGGGAAAAGCCTAGGTCCAGGACAGTCCAGAGAAGGCTGGGGCCAGCTCCGGGGTGGGACACCAAGTTCCCCAAGCACCTATGGGCCCATGCTGTCCCAGGGCCTACTGGTAATTATAGTTCCAGACAAACAGGCAAGCTTTAGGGAATCCTAACTGCACTCATGCACCACAGCCTCACCCTCAACTCTTTCTTCAGTCTCTCTACATTCCGGATATTGGTCAGCTCCTCAAGTCCCACAATGAGAACCTAGAAGAGTCACACAGGAAAGTGGGACCCTTAACACAGGAGAAGAGGTTCTAATCAAAGATGACAGTACTTGGATGGGAGTGAGAGAGGAGGACCCCACCTGGAACCCTGTGTATGAGAGAGGCCCCTGGGTGTGTGAGAGGAGGGCTGAGGTTTGGATGCCTGAGTGTGAGGGGGAAAAAATGCAGGGGGTTAGACTGAGGGAAAGGGGCTGGGAGTGCAGAGCTCTTGAGTTTGGGAACAAGACAGCCCAGTCTCACCATGGCCCCAAACACCATGTGCAGCATTCTTTCCAGCCTCAGCTCAGAGGTGCCCTCCTCGGATGACAGAGCAATGAGGGTGATGCTGTGGGGTGAAAGGAGAGACGCAAGAATAAGATGAGCGGGGGAAACGGGGCCAAACACAGTGGTGTCTGTCAGCTATTCCAACACTGCAGGCTACATCCTGACTCGACTGGGAAAATCAGGGATCAGAGAGGGTGAGTAACTTATCCAAGATCCCACGAGCCAGTTACAGCTGACCAGACTGTGGGATCATCTAAGACAGGGACCTCTGAATAGGTTTTGTTCTATTCCTTGCTCCCGCCAGGGACCTGTCATGGAAGCTCTTCCACACCACGGTTGTGTCTTCCGTTCTTGCAGAGTTCAGTTGCACGTCCAGATTCTGCCCAAACATATGGACTCCATTGAGGGAGCCGATGACAGAAAAGGGAAGCTGAGGAGAGGGGACGCATTGTAGTAACTCCGAAGAGTAACCTCCCCACGCTGACCCTGGTGTCCCACTCTGCAGCCTCCTCCTTATTCCCCCAAAGTTCTTTAGAGCCCCCTTCTCAGCCAAAGGCCCCCAGCCTCTACTCCCTGCGAGATACACAGTCCCAGCTCCCCAAACCCCTTCTCGTTAGGTCGGGAGTCCAGCGCCCCACCTGTTGTCGGGAGGGGGCGCCGCCGCAGCTGCTCCTGCAGAACAGGGGGACCCCGCTGGAGGCTGCGAGGCACAGCAGGTGAACCGTGCTTCCTGCCCCCTCATCCCCCATCTGGAAGCCCGCAACCCAGAAAGTCACCCCCTGGGGACTTTCGGTGTGAGTCTGGGAGCATGCGGGTAGTCAAAGTCGGCCTGCTGTCCGGAGCCGCCAGAGAGGGAGAAGCAGATGGCCAAATTCCCGCCTTCCTCAACTCAACCCTGCAACCGGATTAGAATCTCTTCCGCCCCAACCGGAAGTCATCATGACCCTAATAAAGATGGCGACAAGTAGTGTTTGCCCAGCTTTCAAATTGCTACCGGATAGCTTCACATCCTTTGTATAACTAGAATGAAGATGCTAGCTTGAAGATGATGATGGTGCCAAGGTGTTGACTAGCAACCTTACTGTGTGCTATACTAATTTACATGATAGTTTTTTAAAAAGCTGATTGAAGATGACGACAGTATTGCCTGACAATAACCTTTTTTCACTCCATAGTGGTAAATACCTTGCCTGCCCCACTCAAAGATGGCGGTATACTCAGGCATTGCCTAGCAACCACTATTCAGAATAATTTCCATTCTGAAACTATTATCAGCTGTGCCACCATCCCCCTCTCACTTTTTCAGAGTGGTTTGATCCGGGCAGCGTTGCTTAGTAACCACCATATGAGGTGGTTGTTTTTGTTATTAGAAAAAGGTAAAAGAAAAGAAAACCTTTCCAAAAATCATAAAAAAAAAACCACCACATTATTTCTGTAATGAATTCATGCTTATGATGGTGTATCATGTAGAACGTCAAAGTGCTGAAAACTTCAATCCATGAAACAA